TTTGTATTACTGTCGAAAGGGGTATTTTAGCATAAATGCAATGCTAGTAAGTAAAGAAATTTCTATACAGTAATTTAAAGTATTTTAAATTTAATGTTTTTTCCTGTTACAATTTTGCGCCCGTTTTAGACCTGTGATGATTTAATGAACATAAAATACATCAATGCCAAGCACCCCGGCGCTACACACGACTCCATGGTTTTTCAAATGTCGGGATTAAAAAGACTATTGGAGTCAATGTATAACCGTGGTGAATCTAACACCTGGTTATTAGGTACTCAACTTGTAACTCAAACATTTCATATTTAATTTATTTACTTTCTATGTTTTAAGGTGACGCTGGATATGCCTTAGCGCCTTATTTGCTAACACCTTACAGGAATCCTGAAGAAGGTTCAGTATAAAGTTTATATAACTCGCGGCACTCTAAAGCAAGGAATATTATTGAAACGACGATTGGGGTTTTAAAGAGTCGGTTTCGGTGTTTGCTAAGCGCTCGCGAACTTCACTACACTCCTGCAAAAGCCACTTTGATCATAAATGTTTGTGCAGCTTTACATAATATTTGCAATCATTACAATGTACCATACGACGAAGAGGATATTGCAGATGTGCAAAATGAGAATTCGGAAATTGCAATAGAAACTTCTGAAAATGACTCTACTCCTATGCGACAAGCTGCAGAAGAAATCAGAAGAAATGTACTGTCTTGTTTGCATTGATTTTTACTATATTTCTTTAGGTTTTTATCAAAAAATAATAAAGCTTCTTGCTTCAGGTACAAACTCAAATCCATTGTTTTTTAATATAAAATAAGATCACATTCGTAGCTTAAAAGTAAATGTATCTACTTAAAGAATTCAGTCCACTATATTTTCTAAACTTACTTAAACAAACTAAAATTCACTTTTTTTCATAAAATCACATTTGTAGTTAATAGTAAATGTATAAAATTAAAAAAATCAGTCCACTACACTACACTTTATAAATTTACATATTTACATACTTAAAACTAACAATTTTTGTACATATTCTGTTTGTTCTCAAGAAGTTTTTTCTTGAGTTCTAACTTCGCTTTCCTATCTCTTCTCTTACTTTCCATTTCCTGCTTATAAATAGCGAATTTATCTTTTTTTATATAGTAAGTTTTTTTTGTGTATACTTCAATATTTGAAAGGCTTTGTTTCATCTCTTTTAGTGTGGCCAAAGTCTCCTTTTGAAATTCAGCCTGCTGATCCGTCTGCCGCTCAAGGAGTGCAATTTGCTTTTCTTCTCTCCTTTTAGGGTTAGAGCTGCTATTTCGGCCATGCTCTCGCAAAGGTATCACATTTCGCGAAGGCCCTGGGATATCGTGGTCTGAATATATTTCCACTTCCGTAACGGACTCATTATCGTCATTATTTTCTATTCCAAATTCTTCGCCTGGCGGATTGTTGTAAGTGGTGTAGCTCATTAGCCTGTTCACCGTCTCTTCCAGATTTGAGAGTGGAACTGTGTTATTTGGCCCACCTCCAGTTGCTAAATTCTCTGCGTGGTTGTGAGCGCTCTTTTTCTTTGTTTTATATTTTAAATCGTTCCAAACCTACAGTAATAAAATAATTTAGTCTTTCAGTTCCAAATATACGCACTACTAATATGCTTACTCGTTGCCATGCATCTGATGATCGTGTTGGTGGTCCTAATGAGTTCAGCTCCTGAGTAATTCTTTCCCAACGTGGTTTCGCGACAGCTTTATGACATATTCCTCTTGCGAGGTCGGTATTCTCCTCCATTAGCGAAGCAAGACGCTCTAGTTGATGCTTTGTACTCACAACTCTCGGCCTAAAGAAATTTTTGAATTGAGTTTATAACTAGTTCATAATTTATTTTTGCTCATTTTAATACTTACATTATTCCAATTTCTCAAAATAATTAACAAATTTTAATTTGGTATACTAGCACAGCAATCTATCGTTTAAAAATGGCGAACCGCTTGCAAGCGTCTGAAATCGAACGGCTGAGACGATAGTTATCGTTTGGCAATATCATATTTTTACGATATACGATAAACGCTAACTATCGGATTTCATACGATAGACTTAAATTCGTAATACGGGATAACAGAATGCAAGCGTTTATCGTGTATCGTATGAATTCATAATAGGGGGGTATGTTTCAACTACACAAGCCAAATTCGAACCAAATCGGACCCTAAATACGGTTTTTCGAAATATCTCAACCTTGGCGCCACCTAGGAAGACCATTTTACGCAAACATGATTATACTTTCATAGCCAGTATATATTTTAAAAAGCAGACAAATCGGCCCGTAAATACGTTAGATATAAGACTTTTATTTTTTTTTGTCGTGATGGACCTTCCGATGGAAACACCCATATGATACATATATGTACGTATGATACAGAATTATTTAAATTGATACAAATTATTACTAATAAAATGAAATAAATTACAAAATGCGAAACCAAAAATCTCACTTGTTGGCTCGGTATTGAGTAAAACTAAATGCAAGTGATAGTTTTAGATGTCAGTAATACTACGTTAAGGGCTTTTTCGAGTTTAGCTCAAATAAGGAAGATATCCTTAATTGAACCCTTGCACACAATTTATTGATTAATTAGGTTATATAAGAGTTTTTTGATATGAGAAATTTATTCTTGAAGTTCGTTTACTATTAGCTTTAAGGCATCCACACACCTATGCGATTCTGTCGGAACGAATCCGCACCGTTTTTGATGCTACAGATGTTACTGCTTCGAAAACGTAAGTACGCACACATCTGTGCGATTTTATCGCAGTAAAAAACTGTCAATTTATAGACAAACAGAAACTATTAAAAAAAAATCTTAACTTTTCTACACCAAATATGTTTTGTTTTCTTGCGTTCAATTTTGTTTTAATATTGTAAAATCCTTCTATTGACCTTTTTTGATCTCAAAACGCGGAGTATGCGATTTCAGCACGACCAAAAGAAGAACTGTGAATGTTCGAACAAAGTGCTGCAGCATAATCGTTTAAGTGCGTGGTTCCTCATTTAAAACTATGGTCGGCATTGTTGTAAATTTTGTCGGTACAGAATCGCACCGACAGAATCGCATAGGTGTGTGGATACCTTTACGCTGTAGGCCAGTTTTATTGAATTTCCTTGAGTTTTTTTTTCAAATAAATACTCAAATTGATGTTTTTTATTTAAAAATTCAGACGTGAAGTGATTTCAAACACCGCAATTGATATTTTGAACATAAATTAATTAATTTATTGTATTTTGTTTCATTCCTTTGTCAAATTTTTCTTCCAACTTTGCTTCTTTTTTACTTCTTTTTTAAGGAAATTGCAAAGTTATTGCTTACATTTACGTCATCAGCTGTAGTCATTATCCAACAATAGTGTTGATATTTTCTTTCGCAATCAACCATTTTTTAAATAAAGCACCAAAGAAAGTGATAAATTGCCGTTATCGAAGACACACAAAATTAAATAGTTCTCCAAAATAGTTGCTGCAGCAATTTGCAGACTAAACTCTTTAGAACTGTCAAATAGGAAAATTACACTCTCAAGCGAGAGTAATAAAATAATTATGACGATGATTTTGATAATCGAAATAAAAAGCGAAGAAGAAAGAAAATTTGAAAAAAGTAGTCAAAAGAATAAAATAAAATACAATAAATAAATTAATTTCTGTTTTAATAAATGATTGTGGTATTTAAAATAGGTATTTGTAATACGATTAAAGTAAATTTCACATCGCAACTGAATTTTTTTAAGAAACCTCTGATTTTAGTATTTGTTTGTAAAAACTCAATGAAAATTGGCCTACAGCACCATCTAGCGCAGAGCTAATAAAAAACGAACTTCAAAAGTGAATTCCTCGTATCAAAAACACTTATATGAACATTTTCAAAGAATATTTTTCACGACCTTAACCTAATTAAACAATAAATTGTGTGCATGGATTCAATTAAGGAAATTTCCTTACTTGAGCTAAACTCGAAAAAAGCCACTAACATAGTATTATTGACACCTAAACCTATCACTTGCATTTGGCTTTACCCAATACCGATTTGAGCTGTCGCACAGTGTTATAATTTGATATTTCCGGACTAATTAAATATTGGAAAATAAATATATGTACTTATGTAATTTTTAATTTTGCGAGTGCATAACTTGGGTGCACATGTGCTCGCTCCCCCGCGCCGCGCTCGCGACCCCCGTGCCCCGCTGCACTGCACTCGTGGATCAATGTCCAGAAGTACGGGAACGCAAAAAATCACATTTCGTGCCCGGAATTTGAGAAAAGCTTATTCAAGTGGGTTTTGTTACCTACACTTAAATTTAAACACTTGGAAATTGAGTTTTGGTTACACAAATTTGATTTTATTAATAAAAAAGTATATAAAAATTTCAAATACATATAAACACAGAACAGCTGATAAGCACGCTGATACTTTATCCGTTTTTACCCGGTGAAAAAGTCCGGGATGTTTCGGGCAGGACGAAGGAGACACTTACGATCCAATACGTTCCAATTTTCGCTCTCTATTACCCATTTTTTGAGTACGGGAGTAGGTTTGTTCCACACGCTTTCCGGGCTGCTACGGTAATTAGAGCGTAAAAATAAGTTGCGCTCTCACAAGTGTCAAAAATGTGTCAATACGTGCCGAAAGCAGTGTTGTCAGGTCTTCGGCATGAGAAAACGTCCCTCTTGGTCTGAAAAAACGTCATTTCCTACCCATAAACGCCTTTTCCAAATGTATGTACACAGAATTGTTCTTATCATAGGGAAATAATATAAAGTGTACCAGGTAAACTGATGTCTTCATTTTGAAAGCAAAATTTGATTTTGTTATTATCATTTCTTTCATTTCTGGTATTCGTGTTTTTACATTCTGGCATTAACCCTTGGTTTTGTTGCATAGCTCTGTCCAATTTCGGATTTGATCCTCATTCTTCCGGACTGTAAACATCAGTCCTGCAACGATATGTGTGCCTTTGCACAGGCAGCAAGAATTTCTTGGCATTTTTTCTTAAATTTTTTATACAAACCAAAAAAGTTCATAAGTTCTCTCTCATAAGGGTTAACATGAAAACTAAATCAAAGAAAAATGTGTGATACTAAATTATCAAATAAGAGTTCCGAAATAGAATGTCATTGCTATCTGGCACACTTTATATTATTTCACTATGGTTATTATTAAACTTTTTTTGTATACAAAGGTACATACATGCGTAAGGTATATTAAATTGTCATTTCGCCAGAGCACATTTAAAATTCATTAGAATCGAATTCATTAGAATTGCTCAATTTAATGAATACATACCACTATTGTAAACTGGTTTGAGGTCGTTAATATAAAGACCATTTTATACATACACTTGTGATCAGCTGATTAAGTCATCAACATTTTGATCGATTTTGGCTGTTTTTCTTTTGTTTATTTAATGTTTATTATTTTTTCATAAAAGCCTAGCTCATTGTATAACAACCACAATATAAATCCAGATTTCAAACTTTGTGCAAAAGTTATAGCTAGATTTTCAACTTTTTATTCAGAGCTTTTAGAATTTTTTTGAGTATGCAGTTTGATAGCCCATTAAATTTCAGGGCAATAATGTGCAAGTTTTAAGTTGCTAAAGAATCGCGTTGATCTTTAATAACACTGTGAGACAAATGGTAGGGGTCAGTGATCGGGAAGGGTTCAAACTACTACAAAAATTACAATTCCTTTAATCTGTTCATATAACGTTTTTCTATATAATCAACAGTTTTAAAAAAATTTAATATTTTAGGCAACAAATATTTTTTTTCTTCATACATTTATTTTATAATTTTTTTAAATTTGTTTGAGCAAAATCGGACTTGTGGTTCTCGAGTTATGTCAAAAAAAGACCACCAAAGGTGACAATTTCCCCTATATGA